CCAGCACAAAATGGTATGTTCTAAAATATAGTCCTTTCTCTCCTTCCTTATCTTTCCCAGAGCTGACTGCTTCATCTCTATTCCTTGCAAAATATACTGGGAGTAGACTGTTCCACCCCAAGTCTTTATCTCAAAGTCAGTCCACAAGTCCTTGGTTGTGAAACACCTGATGGTCTGTTTATCATAGCTATGCCCCTACTTTTTTTGAGATAGGATTTCTCTGTATTGTTTTGGAGGTTGTCAGTCCAGCCTGGCCTCGAACTCACAACGATCCGCATGCTTCTGCCTCCCGAATGCTGGGATTAAAGGTGTGCACCATCACCGCCCGGCTTATGCCCCTACTTCTTGATGAGAGCTTTCTGTATTAATGTGCTACATTTCTGATCAAATGTCAAAAGAAGCAACTAAAAGTGGGAAAGGATTCCTTTTGACCCATCATTGAAGGGAATACCGTCTACCCTGTGGGGAGGCCTGGAAGCTAGGGCTCTGTGGTTGCAGGAGTTTGTGGCATATCTCACTAATCTTGGTCAGGAAAAGGGTCTAGTCTATAGTGTTAAGCCTAATCCCTATGTAACAATGTCTAACCACTGGGTCCCTGTCCAAAAAGTTCTACAGCCTTCCAGAAAATGTAAGATGAGGCTTTCTTGGCCCAGATAGGTCCTGCCACCCTTCTCTGCCTCAAAGAAACATGCAGACGCTATATTTGTTATTAAACTGTTGGCAATTGGCTAAGGTTTCTTATTTGGCTAGCTCAGTCTTAATTATTTACCTATTTTGTAATAATCCAAGTATTTTCACATCGTCTTATCTTGCCTGAGATAAGGTCCGGGTCTCTTACTCTGTTGGGGTCTACATCGTGTCTGCTCAGTGTTTTCGCAGAGAAGAGAAGAGAAGAGAGTGATTTCCTGCTTGTCCCTGCTTATATTCTGATTCTGCCTGCTATGTCACTTCCTGCCTGGATCACATGGCTACTTCTCTTTACTACATTTCTCAGAATTCTCCTTGCCTCCTATCTTGCTTTCCTATTGGCCAACAGTGCTTTATTCATCAACCAATAAGAGAAACATGTACAGAAGACTTCCCCCATCAAAAAAACCACCAGTGGTTGATACCCAAAGCTCTAACACACATTGAGTGCACACATTGTTGGGATTCTTTCACTCAACTGCATACTCTGAGGATTCAACTGTGCTCTTTTTTTGGCATATTTCATTCATTCTTCAGTTGGGCACATTTATAATGATATATGTGCTGGCACCAACTAATGGCAAGGCTTATGGGTGCTTGACATAGTCAGACCAGTGGAACAGAATGTTTGACAGAGAGCATGAAAAATGCTAACACAATGATTGTCACTCAGGCAGAGCAGTGTTTATAGAATTCCCCACAAATGGTGAAAATAATGCATACTGAGTAGCACAAAATGAGAGCAATGGTGATATAAAGGGGTAGGAGAATTACTAACCAATTTTGAACATTGTAAGAACCAGGCTTTTGGTGGCTGAAGAGATGTCTCAGCAGTGAAAAATACTTGCTGCTTTTCCAGATGACTTGAGTTGGGTTCCAAGAGCATACATCTGGAAACACAACCACACATAAGTCCATCTTTAAGGGATCTGTCAAACTCTCCAGGCTTCATAGGCATGTTCTCTCTCTCTCTCTCTCTCTCTCTCTCTCTCTCTCTCTCTCACCCTCCCTCCCTCTCTTTGTCCATCATCCTCTCTCTTCATGCACAGAAACAGCATACATATGAACAGACCAACACAGACCAACACACACACACACACACACACACACACACACACACACAGGAAAAGTAAAATAAACCTTAGGAAAACAGAATCAGGATTGAGAGTGTGCTTGGCACAGAACAATAATAGTTCACTATTGGACAATTTCCTTTTGTTTGTTTTAAAGCCCATGATCCTGAATGCTCTTTTCTTCACAATCAGTTTTCTTTCACTTTCCTGGAATTGAGACAAGGAGAGAGAAGGTAAAGAAATGCCAATGAGCATGGTGGTGGTGGCACATGCCATTTTTAATCCCAGTACTTGGGAGGAAGAGGCAGGCAGAGCTACCAGTTTGAGGCCAGCCTGCTCTACACAGTGAGTTCCAGGACAGCCAGAGCTACACAGAGAAACCCTGTTTTGGAAAAAAAGAAAAAAGAAATGCTAATGAATTCCCACTGACCTCAGTCATGAACTCTTTCCTCTTCCCTGTAAAGCCTGAATACCAGCAGTTAGGAACCCCTGAATGTCTTGGAGGTTTTATGTTAGAGAAGAACATGAGAACACATCTTGTCTCCTGTGCCCTGAATTCATTAGTTCTTTAAAAAGTACAAGGCTCTGGGCTACTGACCATGCCCAGTTTTATCCTATGAGGTTTATATTGCCTGATAAGATAAACTAGGTGTGTGTGTGTGTGTGTGTGTGTGTGTGTGTGTGTGAGAGAGACAGAGAGAGAGAGAGAGAGAGAGAGAGAGAGAGAGAGAGAGAGAGAGAGATTTGTAACCCATGGAAAATATCAGTGTCTTCATGTGTATATATAGGGTGAAATGTGACTCTTGACTCTGTGTTTAGATGCCATACAGGACAGTGCACACTCAAACTGAAGGTGGTGCATGTTTGCCATTTACTCATCATCTATGATAATATACTTTCTTTATTATTGTTTTAGAATTTTATGTGACATACCCTTCTAGGTATTCTTACAAATGAAATCCTGTCCACACAGTCCTGATCTGAAGAAAAAAGGAGATGTCTATAACCTTCTCAGCCATCTTGACTGAAAAGGATACCCTTCACAATGAATGTGTGAAGAGTCCTTGAGTCTCTGTGAGGGTGAGGTGTTTTCTGGACACAGCAGGCACAGGAGGGCAGAAACCACAAAGTTCTCATCCATATGTGGAAGGAAAAGTCAGAAGAGTAAAGGACATCACAAGAAAACCCACAGAATCAACTAACCTGGGCTCATAGGAGCTCACAGAGACTGAACCAACAACCAGAAAATCTGCATAGGACTGACCTAGCCCTATGTATATATGCGACAGTTGTATAGCTTGCCCCTTTTGTGGCATTCCTAGCAACAGAAACAGGGGCTGTCTCCGACTCTTTTACTGGCTTTTGGGACTCTACTCTCCATACTGGTTGCCTTGCCCAGCCTTAATACATGGGGAGACACTCGGTCTTTACTGCAACTTGATATGCCATGTTTTGTTGATACTCAAGGATACCTGTCATATTCTAAACATAAATGGGGGAGGAGTGGAT